ACAGGGTTTTGGTACATTGCCCAGACTGTCCTTGAACTCCTGAGTTCAAGCAGTGCTCTGCCTCCCAAGTACCTGGGATCACAGGATCATGGCAACACACCTAGCAAAAGTCTGTGTTTTTAACATTTTACTTGCACCCTCTAATAAAGAGTCCCATAAACAGAAAATGAAATTTATAGTACTATGTGAGAAAATTTATAGCACTATTTCTTTAAGGGAAATTCTGCTGCAATTTAAGGATGTGTGGCATATCCTAAAAACAGACAATGCTAAGTGATACAGAGTGGCAGCCTATGAAAATCCAGGCTCAATTGTGGGTCCTCCCTCGTCTCCACTGACTTACCATACTTTTCCTGTGTGGTTTCCTACAGTCCCTTAGCTCCCCACCCTCCTCCCCAGGAATACAGAACCCTAAATCCAGCTTCACACCTGCTATTCCCACTTAACAGGGTCAGAACAGATATCTTGATTTTTTTTTTTTAATTTTTTATTTTTTGGTACCAGGGATGTAACTCGGGACCTTGCACTTTCAAGGCAAGCGGCAGAACCACTGAGCTAAATCCTCTGCCCTCGTGATTTGATTTTATGTATTCTTCTCACATCATTCACATTGTGGTAACGGCAACACTCCTCATCAGCAGCACAGTGGTCAGGAACACTGACTCTGACCGCTTCTGTCCCTCACTACCCATGCAGAGACAGGCCAAAGCTCAGAGTAGTAACACCACCACAAACATGAAATGTGCTAGTTTATGAAAGCATTTAAAGTAGCACTTGGAAAATATTAAATTGTTGTTAGGCTTCAGCTATTATTATCATCATCATTATTCCAATTATTCCTTTTCCCCTCACACCAATCTACCATGTCAACAATACTTATAAAACATAACTGAAATCCAGTGTCAATTGTTATCACCACTGACTCCATTTCAAGCCTAGATTAATGTGATAAACTTCCAAACTAGTCCTCCTACTTCCATTCTTTCTTTACTCTCCAAAGAGGTTTTCAAAGCAAAACTCATCTGTAATGCCAGCACTCTGGGAGGCCAAGGCAGGACGATAGCAATTTTGAGCCCAGCCAGACAACTGCCTTGAAATAAAAGCCATTTTAAAAAGGGCTGGGACTTAGCTCAGCGCAAAGGCCCTGTGTTCAATCCATGCTGGGGGAGGAGGGCGGTGCATAAATCAGGTTGTATCATTCCCTTATTCAAAAGCATCTAATTACTTTCCACTACATTAAGCTTTAAAAAAAAATTGACTGGAGATTTAGCTCAGTGGTTCCGCCACCTGCCTGGCAAGCATAAGGTCCCAAGTTCGATTCCCGATACTACTAATGATAATAATAATAATAAACCTCTTCATTGTGGTTTATTCAAAGTCCTAGGAAGCCCTACATCAAGCCAGTGCAACCTCATCCTAGACCATTCCTGTAGCTCACCACACTCCTGCAACACTGGCTTTTTTATTCTGAAAAGTGCCAAAGTTCCCTCTTTGGGACCTTTGCATTAGTGACTTTTCCCTGCCTAGAAGGTACTTTCCTTTATATTTCTTCAGCTGCTTCCTTGTCATATATAACATGGTTATTATTTATTTCTTTAGTAATTTTCTATTTTCTCCTACTAGAATATAAGCTCTATAAGTGAAGAAATTCACTTATATTCACTTACATTCACTTAAGCTGTCTTAAGTACTGTATCCCTCACACACAAAACAATGGATGAAGAAATAAAAAGTTATTTTAAAATATACCATTAAATGCAAAACTGACTGTAGCTTCTAAGACTGTTATATATAAGTGAAGCATAAAAAGTATCCTTTTCACTCTTTTCCCTACCTGGTTATCAATCTATTGTGCCATAGGTCCAAATTCACCCTTTTTGCCTATAAGTGGACCTTTTAATATCTTCTCAGAGTTTGAAGATCTAAATCTTCAGTTGTCCAGCTCCTTACATGAGCACAGATATCATCAAAAGGCCCTAAAAGTCACAAACAGAAAACCTTAGACCCAGTCTTCACTCCAGCATTACTCACCAGCATACCTCTGGACAAATGACCTAGCCTCTCCAAGCTGCCTTTTCCTCATCTGTATGCAGTATATTACAATCCCTGTTTGTCTCAGAGGTTAGCAGTGTGGAGAAAATGAGATATGCATAAACTGCTAACTATGAACAAAAGAAACTTCATATTCTCACCCCGTATCTATCAGTCCAAAGAGTTTCACTGAGCAATGAAATGTGACACATGCCACACTAGATAAAACACTGGAATTAACACAGAGCCCATACTTTTGGAGCTTATATTTTAGTTGGGAGAAAAAAACATAATGAGAATAGTTTCATCATAACTTGGGGTGTGCAGAGTTCTGTGGGAACACAAAGGACACACACTTAGCATGATCCTGGGACTTCAGAAAGGGTTCCTAGAGGAAGGTGAGCCACAGTGAAACTCAGTGGGTCTGCAGGGTATAAAAAAAAAAAGAGTTCAGATCAAAGGAGAAAGTAATGTCAAATATTTAACAGTCTACCGCCTGCCTCACAAGCACAAAGTTCTGATTTCGATCCCCAGTACCAAAAAAAAAAAATTTTAACAGTCTTAAAGCATTTTTAAAACCCAGATTAGTTGTATTATGAAAATCACACAATGACAAGAACAAGCTTTCAGATACCACCTGGGGTGAAATTCTTCTATCAATTTACAAACTTCCCTAGTATCTTTTATTTCACCTTCTACCACAAATTAAAATACTTCTTTAAAGTTCACTTTAGGGCACTTTTTCTCATCCTACAAGAATATTTCCATGTGTAAAGCTGAACATTTTCAATTACATACTCCAAAGTTGAACCCTCCACCACTGGAAAGGACAGTGATAAAGAGACTACAGCAACAGGTTAAGATTTTTACTTCACCAACAACACTAAAAGAAATTCCTTCACTTCCTTCTTCACCTTTCCACAGCTCAGGACAGGTCCCAAAGGAATACAGTACTCCACCACTCTCCTTCCTGATAAGTCAAAGGGCTCCCTGGACCTGCTCTCAGACAGGCCTGTCCCCGCACACAGAAGCCAAGTACTGCCTAAAACACAAGTCCTGACCTTCTACTACCAATCCAAGACACTGAGATCAGAACTCTGCAGAACATACCAGTGAGCAGGACAAATTCCTTTAAAGTAAATCTCAGTCCACTAAAACTGAACACTGACAGCCTCTATACACTACAATTCCACTCTGAGACGTATAACCAGCACAAAAACGTGTTTGTCAAAATATGTACTAGAATGTTTGGAGCAGCAATATTAGTAATAACCAAAAAGAACAAAAAGTCCAAATGCCTATCAACAATAGAATGAACAAATAAATTTTGATAATGTCAATGAGAATTAGAATCAAAATAAAGCCACCTTATGGAACACAATAAAAAGAACATAGCATCTTATCTATGATATTGTTGCTCAAGATATATAACTTGAAAACTAGCCTATAAAGCCCATAAAAGTCAAGGAAAAACAAAGAATCTGTTCAAGCCTGGAGGAGACTAAAGAGACACGACAAATAACACGTGTGATTTCGCTTTGGATTCTTCTGAGATAAAGGACACAACTAAGACAACTGATGAAATGCGAACAGGGTCTGACAATTAGACAATATTAACACATCAATATTAATTTATTTTGACAGTTAAATTCTTCTTCCCTAGCATTTGTGAGGCCCTACGTTTAATCCTCTACAAACACACACACACACACACACACACACACACACACACACACACAGTTAAACATCTATGAGGTATTTTCATAAATTGCCTCATTTAACAAAAACAGTTAATATTATAGTCCTCCCAAATGCTGATATAAACAGATGATATACGTTTAGGTAACCTCACAAAGTCAATAAAATTTAGACCAGAAAATACTACAATGTTTAACTTAAAAGGACCTGAGTACATAATAATAAGCATAGCTTAAAGATGCCTCATCATTGTACTTTGGTACCAGAGATCGAACTCGGGACCTTGCAATTGCAAGGCAGGCAGCAGAACCACTGAGTTAAATCCTCGGCCCCTCATCATTGTATTTTGAAGTCCTCTTCCATGTTAAGTACAAAAAAGTAGTTAAAAAAAAAACTAGACCTAGATTAAAGGACAACTGTATAAAATGTATTTAGTTTTAAGATATCACCACTTAAAAGTCATGTTTTCAACAACTACTTAAATGCACTAATTCTGTCATTTGATCAACACAGCCACCTCCAATTTCACCCAGTACTGGGCTCTTTATCGCAGCATTTGCATGGCACTGTTTTTATAGTAAGACCTTCTTCTAAGGATAGGGGTACAGCTCCATGGTGGAATACATACTTTCCCTAACATGTGAGGCCCTAGGTTCAATCCCCACCACCTCAAAAAAACAAAGAACAAATTTACTCACACAAAATCCTAATTCAGAACAAAAATTTAGGGGCTATATATACCAAAGACCACATTGACTGTTAAAGGACATATGTGAAGTCCAGCTGTATGGAAAACAGATATGACCTTGAAATTCACAGAGGCCATTCACAAATTAATCAGCTCATCATTAGTATTATAGAAGAGAGAAAAGTTGAAAACCAACTACTGCACAGTATAGATACTAGCAAATAGAAACCTAGGGGTTCTGAGGGCCAGGGATTTAGCTCAGTGATTCCAGCACCTGCCTTGCAAGTGCAAGGTCCTGAGTTCGAGCCCTAGTACCAAAAAACAAAAAACAAAAAAAACCCCTAGGGGTTCTGGAATTAAAAGAACAGCACAAGGGATGCGGATTTAGCTCAGTGGTTTCACCGCCTGCCGCACAAGAGCAAGGACCAGAGTTTGATCCCTGGTACCAAAAAAAAAAGAACAGCACAAGCAATATAAATATCACAATGAAAATTAAATTAACTTATTCCCTAAAGAAGACAGAACAAAACTTCCAAGGGTACATAACTGAAAGTGTGAATGTAGAAATGAATGAAATACTTACCGCCAAAGCCTTGGACAATTTTGCTCTAAATTCATTCAGAATAATTGCTACAATGTCCTTAAGTGGCACATAAGCAAAACCATCTTCTAAATAGACTCTCCTTCCTCGGAACAAATCCAGAGCATCAGCAAAAGGGATCTGAATTCAGATGAAATGGTAAAAATAAGTCAATACCTATAATTATGAAATCCTACTACTCTTCATAAATATTAAGTCTAAACAAAGAAATTCATTAGTCCTGGCAAATAAAAAAAAACAAAAAGACCAATTTATATTCCTTGAAACTAAACTATTAGCATTAATTTAGTCATAGCAGTACAAAAATAAACTTTTTGTTTCAGAGATGTTTTAATAATAATAATGAAAGAATAGCTGCTATTGTCTGGATCTAAAATGTCCCCCAAAAGTTTCATGTGTTCAAAAGTTCAGATTTTGGAAGGTGATTGGATCGTGCAGTATCTAACCTCATCAGTGGATTAATCCATTGATGAACTCATTATCTGATGGCATTACTGGGAGGACACTGAAACTGAGGCAGTAGGGACTAGTTGAAGGGGTGGGTCGTGGAGATGTGCCATTGGGGAATATATCTTGCCCCTCGCCCCTTCCTGTTAGGCCCTTCCTCTCTACCTCCTATCTTCTATGAGGTTAGCCCAGTGTTCCACCACATGATCCCCAACATGGTGCTCTGCCTCACCTCAGCCCAGAAGCAATGGAACCAAACAAACATGGACTGAATTCACTGCTCAGATATTTTGTCACAGTGACAGAAAGTTGACTAACACAAAAGCCAAGCTATAATGCATTATTTTTATTCATAACCTATGAATTTACAAATTATAATGCCCAGGATTTCAAACTTGTAACTCAAGATTTTTAAGCATGTTATATTAATCTCATAGACATATTCTACATTTTATTCTGCACTGAATAAAATCTTAATCTGTATTCAACATATTCAGTGCTGAAAAGTACTTGTTAGCAAAGTAATTTCAAATTTCTTCATCTACATTTCCATTTTTTTCTCTAGAGAAACATATTTGAGAAACTAACCCTAACAATAAGAAATGGAAATACAGTAATACTTCAGTTCACGAATGCTTCTGTATGGAAACAATTCCATTTGCAAACAAAAGTGTTCTGGGCCGGGGATTTAGCTCAGTGGCTCCGTCGCTTGCCTTGCAAGTGCAAGAACCCGAGTTCAATCCCTGGTACCAAAAAAAAAAAAAGTGTTCAGCAAAATTTTGCTTCTGTTCACAAACTCTGCATATGGTGACAAAGAGGACAAGGGCCATTCCCTTCACAAACATGAACACAGACTTCTTACCCAGAATCACAGAACAAATCAAGTTTGTGAACCAAAGTACCACCGTAATAAGCATTCAGGTTTACTATTAAAATAATTATTTGCCATTAATACTGTATGTATTTTTAAAATTAAAATTAAAATTTTAAGTATATAAACTACCTTAAAATTTTAAGAGATAAGCAGAATATGGTATTAACTGTGAAAATCATCCTCACTCATTTTTCTCCTTTTTAAAATGAGACAAGAAATTAGGTAAAAACTAATCCTCAAATTGCCTCTTCACCCATCTTGTAGGGAAAAGTGACATCTGCATGCCTACAATTCTATATCTGATGATATCTCACATCTAAACATCACATACCTTTTGATAAATGTACTCATTTCTATGGCTACAAGTCTTTGCCCTCAAGGAGTTCATTTCTTAGGAGAGAACAGCAAAAGACACACACATGGAAAGCCAAACAGCTCTACCGAGTAGCACCACAAACTACTGCACTAAGAAGGTGAATCAACAGGACATGTAAGAGGAACAGGTAAAAGAGTTAAGTGTGGTAACATAGCCAAGGAAAGGAACAAAAGTTTGGAAACAAGAGTTTTAGTCCAAGTCTAGAATCCATTTAGTCTGCCACTCATTAGATTTATGACTTAGTAAATTTAATAAATGACTAAACCTCAGCAGCTGGATTCATAAAACCAGGAGAGAGGATGAACAGATGAGCTAAATGATTCTTACAGGTTCTTTAGCTATACTATTCTATGAGTCTAGCTTATTGGAATGGTCACAGTGGAAATAAAAATGCCCGAGAGGAAGCAAAAAGATGATGTGAAAGCAGAGTAATGGGAGATGTGTGATATGGGAGGAATAAATACTGATTCCCATACTCTAAGCTTGAAAGGCTGACTGAATGATGGTCCAACAGGTAGAAACAGGGAAGCTGGAATTAGGAGCTAATGTGGAGGCAGAATTTTAAACTACTGGCATTCACCATTGATGATCAGTACCTTCTTTCAAAGGGAACTGTGGGGTGGCAGTTATCAAATTTTAAATTGAATCTCATCTCTCTCCTCTTCCCCTTCAGGACTATCATTCTAAAAGCCATTTGGTGGGGTTAATACAAAGTATCTATACTGAGAGGTGGGGGGAGCTAAGGTGATCCAGCACAAAGGACGCTAACTCTGAGTAGGGTAAGGAAGGCACTCGCACAGGAGGGCACACAGGCTTGCAGGGTCAGAGCCCGCATGGGATTCCAGATGACCAAGAGAGGAAGCAGTCCAAAGCACAGTGTCCGAAACCCAAAGCAGGGAAGGCAGGGATTCAACCATGACGCTGCGCCCAACAGGAGGTGAGGGTGTCCTGCAGGGGACAGCCCTTGCCAAGTGTGAGAGCCCACATGTTCGTTTAGTATTAAGTTTTGGTTTTGTTTATTATTGCAGTGCTAGAGAACAAATGCAGGGCCTTGCACATGTTAGGCAAGCACTCTATCACTGAGTTACATCCCCACCCAAGACTACTCATTTAACAGAAGGCCTGCAGAGGGTCTGAGCCCCAGCAGGTTTAGGAAGGAGGTCTATCTGGAAGGGGCCAAGATGAGCAATGAATATTGGCGCAGGATGAGACCATGACCTGCGATGGAGAGGGAGCAGCTGTGGTGATGAGGGCCACACCAGTGAGCTGGTTAAATATGCACATAAACCTCAATGTAACAAACTTAACAAATCCTAGAAAATATTTTAAACATTTACATACCTTATACACTGATTCCAATTCCAACTGAGCCCCACTTAGACTTACTGATGAGGCAATAATCTCCTGTTCTCGATGATTCTTCTCTTCATCACTTATCTAAAAGGAAACATTTTATACAATTGAAAACATTAAATCAGCATTCAGTTTCCATAAATGTTTCCTGTTCTAGTGAACATTCTATACTTCTATTAAAAAGTCAATATCCTGATATCTCAAATTATTAATATGATTAATGAATCACTATTATCACTAATGACAAAAATGGAAGAAAATCTAAATTCAATATTCTGTCATATTTTTACTGATAGTATCTGAAAATATACATCAAAAGAGCAGAGAAACAGAGCCGTAAAAAAAGGGGCCCAACAAGTTGCAGCTATTTATTGTATTTAAAATACCCTTTCTTAACAGAACTTTACAGCAAAGCAAAATATGCTTTCCTCAAACTGTTACTTAAATATTACATGAGTTGCCCTTATACAAATTATTGACTTTAGGATGTCTTAAGATGATGAACGAATATGATGCTTAATCACCTTAAATTTTATTGTGTAAAGCTATTTTAATTTGTTGATCTATATTAGGTGAAATTGTACTTGTTCTTCCACCATTAAGAGTAACTATAAAGGGCCACGGATTTAGCTCAGTGGTTCCATCGCCTTCCTTGCAAGCGCAAGGTCCCAAGTTCGATCCCCAGTACCAAAAAGAAGAGTACCTATAAAAATGGAAAAATGGGGATAGGTATTTTAGCTCAGTGGCACTGAGCCTGCCTCACAAGCGCAAGGTCCTGAGTTTGATCCCCGGTACCAAAAAAAACAAAAGGAAAAATGAGTTCATTCACAATTTCACCAAACTGGGAGGCCAACTAGTCCTACCCCCACCTCGCCCCAGTGAACTGAAGCAGTCAGTCCATTTTATAGAAGGGTAGGACAAAAGGCAGAGAGTTCAGAAAAATGTTAAAAATAGGGTTTTGGTGAATACCCCTTGGTGCAGGGCCTGGCGGTGGAAGTTTCTGCTCTCTGCCTGAGGAAGCTTGAAGTAGTTAAAAGATCTGTTTTAGGGGCTGGGGATTTAGCTCAGTGGTTCTGGTGCTTGCTTCAAAAGCTCAAGTTCCCGAGTTCGATCCCCAGTACCAAAAAAAAAAAAATCCGTTTTAATCTTTTGGTTACACTTACACTTTTTTTTCAATGGTGCCTATCTGGTTCTCATTCGTAGTGTCTTGTTTTCCCTGTGTGCTTTCTTATCTTTGCATGCTGGCGACTGTATTTGGAAAGTTATGTGGAGAACTATATTGAGACCTAGGAGGACTGTTATGGTTTAGATCAGGAATGTCCCCCAAAGGTCTCATGTGCTCACAGGTGGGGCTTTTGGAAGGTTATAGAATCATGGGAGTGGGAACAGCTGACTTGCTCTTAGGATGTGGGGTATGGCTGGAAGAGGCTTGTTACTGGGGGCGGGTGACCTGAAAGGTTTATTTCTCTTGCTAGCTCGTTCCTCTCCCTGTGTACTGGCCTCTGTGATGTGAACAATCCACAGCACACCACTGTGCCCTTCTGTCATGCCCTTGAGCCAGATGACCCTGGACTGTAACTGTGAGCCAAGGCAAACCTCTCCTTTAAATTACGTGTGTTGGGTATTGTGTCCCAGTGATGAGAAAGTGACCAAGAAAGGAATGGAACTGTTGCCCTGACTACATGACCATGTGACTTAGAAGCCTTTGGGAGTGGTTTTGGGGACAAGTTTAGAAAGGTTTGGAGATGCTGGCTAGAGAAGCCCTACAATGCTGTAAGCTGAACTTAATGGAAGATTCTGGTCAGAGCTCAGAAGATCAGAACGCTGATAAAAAATACAAGTAGTAAAGACCAGGTTCACGAGGTTTCAGTTGGGAACAAGGTTTCCATTGGCAGTTGGATTTGAGACCATGTGTTGTTATGCTTTGGTAGAAAATTTGTCCACATTTTACTCCTGTCCTCAGTAAACATTCTGGTGGCATCTGAAGCAGGGCCCTGGAGGGGCACCTCCAGTCAGGCAGAGATGACCTTTGATCTATTTTTTTTTTCTTCCTGTTACCTCACTGAGTGGGAACTGGAAGGCAGGGTCAACGCTCTGTAGAACTGACTAGGAGCAGCTGGATTGAGGTGACAGAAGCCTCTGGGGAAGGGGAGGGAGTGGCTGTGGTTCCAGGGGGTGCAGGAAGCTGCCAGGGAAGAGTGAGGTCAGTTGGATTTTTGGAGAGGAAGGAGGAATAGAAGAATGAAAAATTCCCATTGGAGCACAGAGAGAGGATCTGTCATGCCTGGCATGATGGAGAGCAGCAACAGGTTAAACAGTGGCCATCTCTAGCTGTGACTCAGACTGTGACTGAACATGGGTGAGTGATCAAGAAGGTCCTCACCCTGATTGGTCACTCGCCAAAAGGAAAGACCTGTCTTTCTCTGGAGATTTTTCTGTGAAAATGGCACATAAAAGCAAGACAGACTTCTCTCCGTCCTGGTGGATGAGGGGAGAGAGAGCTAGGAGCTAAGGTGAAGAGAGGGCAGGACTCGCGGGGCGGGGGCGGCAAAGCTCCGAGAGGGAAGAGAGGGAGATCCACAGGGCATGGAAAACAGGCCAAGGTGGCTAGGAGACAGCTGCTGGAATGGCAGGAGCTGGGGAGCTGCCTACAGTGCTGGAGCAAAGTCTGGAGACACCAGACAGCCTTGGTAGGGTGTTCAAAATAGGGTATAAAACCCTCCAAGGGGAGGACACTATCCCAGGTTTCTAGCACCAAATGTTACAAACAGTAAGCAAGAGGCCACT